ATTTGGTGTCATTTCATCCATTCAGGGGGACAGAGAGCCCAGACTTCTAATTTGTTAGAGAAATTAGGGATTGACCTTGTTAAAACTGCATGCTGAAACATGCAATCTGCACTTTGCCTTACCTCTCACTGCTCCTTTATTTCACTGCCAGGGTTTCCTACATCTGGAGCAGGTAAGTCTTCCTTCCGTTGCTGACAAATACTGTCAGGTATGAGGCTGCCATTACAAAGACCATCCCCAGCAGAAAATGTATGTTTCCAGCATTAACTTTGGCTTCTTATACCTGGATCTGAATCTTTATTTTGGTAGGGTTCACACTTATAATTCTTGGGCCTACTTAACTGCACTTTTATACAGAATAGGATCATTTTGTGGTTGTACAGGGCTTTGCCTAAGGTTCTCCAGGCAATTTCATCCTTCCAAATGTCACTGAAATCTACAAAGAACTCCACTCAGTGAGCATGCCTACAGGCAGAATGAAATCCTGCTGAGGATGGTGACAAGTATTAGAAGAGTTAAAAGTAATGAACAGTTAGAGCATGTTACTTTTGTCAGAATGAATGGATACATAAAAAAGGTTTCCTTCGATTTGTAAAATTTCCATGTATTTTAAAAGCATGTCAAGCTATAGCAAACAAGCTGCATGCTGCTGTATCTTGTAATTAAAAGAAAATTATTACTCTCTGTAGTTAAGTGCAAAAGTCGTAAGAATTATGCTTCATACATAAATGAAAACCACAGAGAGAAACATTTTCAAGACTGACTATAGCACCTGCCCTCCCAATATGTTTCAAGGCCATGCCCCCCTCAGCAGAGCAAGGCTGAGACTCAGAAAAGTATTTAAATCTCAGAAATCAAGGAATAAACATCTAGGAGCTTCTGTAGTTTCTGGACCAAACCCTGAGTGAGTAGTGAAATGACAAGTAGCAGGACCTTGTCTAGTCTTCTGACAGCAGAATGGTAGAGTTCTACCATCTCAGCCCATCTACTCTATTATAAATACACAAAATGAACATTCAAACCATAATTATTTTTAAATGGTGGTAACATCACTTGTTTGCCAGAGGTGAACAAAACTTCTGACTGCACAATTATTCATCTCCATATTTCATTCCAAGGAATGTTAGGAAGGATATGTACTACTCAGCATACATTCAGACTATTGCAAAGCACACAACCAAAATATCATCTAAAAGAGATTAATTCCTGCTGAGGATGTTGCCTCTTTCTAGCAATGGCAATAAGGAAGTATATTTTTGATGATCCTAAATCAAGCTTCCAATAGGGAAGATTTTAAAATATTCTTGTGTTCTAACAAAATGTTCCCACTGGTGTTGTAACGAAAGAAAGAGAGAGAGAAAAAACCCATCCCCTGGCAGGAAATTAATTATTGAGCATTCCACTGCTTGATGATGCTCTCCTACATTCTGCGCAGGCTTCCCATTTTTCTCTCTCAGTAAGTGGAGAAATTCACTATGGAGAATGTAAAAACAGAACAAAGAGCAGAAGAGGATCAGTTTATTGAATGCATTTAGAAACCGAACAGACCTCGAGAGAGGAACTTGGTTTGTGCATCACCACACCTGGCATTTGTTCCCTCTTTACATTTCTCTCCCCTCTTCTCCACTTCTGTTTTCTGAAATCACCTCTGTCGAGAACAGATGCACCTGGCTTTCAGCATCACTTAGCTGCAACAGTTTTGAACTGTCACTTCTTTTATTAAAAAAATAAAATGGAAAAATCTCATCTCTTGATGGAAAGGGAAAATAGAAGCCCATCATTATGCACCTATGTCTAAACATCTAGATGTAATCCCATTTTTAAAATCAACTGCCCCCTCCTCCCCCATGTCCAGCCCATTTAGTAAATTTTACCCCTTTCTGCCAATTTTAGTCTCACTGTGGAAAAACTGAAAAACCTACACAGGTCATAATTTCACCCATTAGTTACATGACAAAACGTACAGTCCCTGAGGCTACTTCTGCACCCAGCACATGAGCCTAGAAAAAGTTCTCAATTTAGTGGGATTATGCCACTGCACAAGCATCTCCAGAAGAGCAGACACTTCCCAGTAACCAGCATCTTGGATCCTTCCTGGATATGGAACTACCAAACTAGAGAAGGAAGATGTAACAGACTGAAACAGCATATGCCATCTTCAAATATGCCATCTTCACTACATCAGAAGTGCTCTACAGCTTAGCTAAGGCATAATGAAGAAGTGTTCAAAAGAAATGAACAATTTTTGCTTTTAAAAAAGGAGGTAGAAAGGTTACGGAAAACTACTACAGCAGATGGCTGTATGATTCCTCCAGAAACTTTATTACCAGCTAGGCTGCTCAGGACCCTTTTGCATGGTCATCACCACTTGGGCTCTTCCATCAGCTGCTGGGCAGGATGGCTTGCACTGTACTGCCTCTATCTGCCTGGCAGACTTCACATTTGTCTGGCTCTGTGCATCAGCAGCAGAAGTCTCCATAGCTGCACACAGAAATTCAGTGTTTTCATGTGTTGTTCATATCTGCAAATATTTATCTGCTGCCTCCCATCCTCTCCTTATTCCTCCTGGGTCTGTATTAATATAATGGGTTCCCCAGAGACCAGGAAGCACCTTCACATATGCAGAATGTCCCGCTGAAAGGGAGCATTCTGGAATAAGACAAACTATCCACTTCATAGCACCTACTCTAAGCACAGCTGGTCTTGCAAGAGAGCGCTGCAGGAGCTGGAGATGCAGCAGCAGACGAGGCCCCTCACTGCGTGAGGTCCTTCGTGTGGCCCTGGGAAGCAGGGCCCTGCAGGAGCTCTCATGGTGCTGATGGAAACTCTGCATCCTGCTCACCTAGTTTTTCATTGCAGACTCTTGACTTTTTAGCACATCCAGGCTGTTACTGATTGTGCAACTGATAGGGAATGATACTAGCAGTGATTCGGATCACATTGTTTTGAGAGGAGGGAATGAATTTTGAATTATAAAGCAGGAGCAAGTTCAATTACTACATAAAAACATGGAGCATATGCTGCCATTTTACAAGAAACTGTTCTGAAGAGAAGCACCATGCTCTGCCACCAAGCTCCCAAGCGACAAAAATCACACTCTCATGAGTATCAGACTCACCATCTGTAAAATGTTTTTCATCTCTAGAAGATAATGTGAGAACTATGTGTTACAAATCATATATTTTGTGACAGATATTATCACTTGCTTTGGAGCAGCACCTTAGAACAAATGCTTTTTCTCCCCTATAAGAGCTCACATGAGGCATAAAACTTCTTAAAACCCTATTTAGCAGTGCAAGTGAGGTGACAACTAATATATGTCTCAGAATTTCTCTTGTATGGTAAGAAGGGAACAGGAGGTTTTTTTCATGAACATAATGTCATTCAAAGGAATTTGCTCTGTAGGATGGCATTCTCCTACAGGACTGCAGGAATTTTTGATAAGGCTGTGTGCATCTCTATAAATGAGTTTTAAGTTCCAGTTTTAACTCCTTCTTCTACCAATGACTGACAGGCAAAGCCAAAAACCTATTACTCTTTTTAAGAACAGATTACTTTTGTATTCCTTCTCAAAAAATGTCCATGATTAATGATTGAATCTGCTACAGTTTTGAGCAACAAGAGATCAGCCATGCTATAATACACAGAATCAAAGAGACTGAGCCAAGAGTCAGAAATGTAGAATTACACTGTAATGAGAGACAGTCAAAACCCAAGGGGAGATCAACAGCTCTTGCTGTACTCGAAATCTGAATTTCAGAGGTTAGGATGATGCAGGTCAAAATGCTGTGGAATGACCCCATCAGCAGCTAACTGCATTAATACAACATCAGAGCTTAAAGAATGGCTAATTTGACTCTCTTCTGATAAATTATACATCTTCTATAATCAATCCAAATTAAAATTAATTTCCAGCAACTGCACTGCTCTGCCAGTAGACAGTGCCTTAATATAATTATGCATAGACAGGAAGAGATAATGACCTCTGATTCAAGTCTATTATTTGTATGGAACATAAAGATACATCACAGTATTATGTGAGATACTGATTAAGACTGGTATGTTACATTAAACAAATTGTTCTCCCATAAACCACTGCTGCTTTTTCCTCTTCCATCGATTCTTGCTGTCCTTGCCAATCACGACGAGTTACCTAGTGAGGGGCAAACATAACTTTGGAGAAACTACTACTACTCTGACACCGATCTACCTTCAGACCCAGGCATTTGCATCTCTTCCGCCTGAAAAACCTGTGGCAGAATAGAAGAGCATCTCGTAGATGATTTATCCAAAAGCTCTGTCCATGTTTATTCAACAGTAGCTTTCTAGAAGATACATTAAATCGAGTCCTCTGATAGCCATCTGCTTCCGCTCAAATCGCGCTGCTCCAGACCCGGAGTCGTGCCCTGACCGCGGCCGAGTGACCCCGGATCTCCAGGTAGGGACGGCGGGAGGGCGCCTCTGTACGGCCCCGCGGGGACCCCGCACCGAGGCTCCCGTTACCCACAGCGGCACCGTGAGCCCCGCACCGCCCAGCCGGACAGATACCCCCGGCCGGGAGCGACCCGAGCCGAGCCGAGCCGAGCCGGAGCTCGCAGCTCCCTCCCCGACGGCGCTCGGGGGCGGCTGTGGGTGGCAGCGCCGCCCGAGGGGAACACGGGTTGAGCCGCCCCCGCCGCCGCAGCATCCCCAGCGCCCGCGGAGCGCCTGCGGAGCCCCCGCGCCCCGAACCTGCCCCGGGCCCGGCGCCGCTCGCCCCAGCGCCGGGGCTCCCCGCGGCCGGACGGGCCGGCGCCGCGCTCGGGGGAAACTTTGGCCCCGCCGACCTCCTCCCCCGGCCCCGCACCCGCACCGCCCCCGCTCCGCGGGGCCGGGGGAGCCCGCGCAGGGCGGCCCGGGGGGCGGGCGGGGGAGGCAGGAGCGGCGCGGGGAGCAGCTGGGGCAGGGAGCGGGGCGGCGCGGGGGCGGAGGGAGGGGTTTCTGCGGGGGTGTTGGTTTACCTTGGAGGTTCTGCACTCGGATGTCGCTGATGTGCCCGATGAGCTCCTCGCGCTGGAACCAGTCCCACTCCTGCCCGGCCATGGGGACGCGGGGCCGGGGGTGAAGGGGGCGGCGGGAGCCGGCGGCGCCGCCACCGCAACCGCCGCCTCCTCCGGCACCGACGGCGGGCACGGAGCGGAGCGGAGCGGGCGGAGGGGCGGCCCCTCTCCACGCCGGCTGCGCCCCGCCCCGCGTCCCTCCCTCCTATCCCTCCCGCGCCTCCCTCCCTCCCTCCCTCCGCCCGCCCGGCCGGGAGCGCCGGAGCGCTGGCGCGGGGCGGAGAGGGGCGGGGGTCCGGCAGTGCCCCCCGGGGCATTGCCCTGCCCGCCTCCCGTTCCTCCCGCAACAGCGGCGGCCGCGCCCCCGCATCGCCCCCGCACCGCCCCCGCTCCGGCCGCCCCCTCGGGAGGGGGTCCCGCGCACATCCCGCACAGAGCGACCCGTGCGCGCTGCCGGGGGGGCTGCGAACAACGCCGAGCGTGTGTCCTGCCGTGCCTGGGGACTGGAGAAGGGTCGTCCCTAGAATAATTGTCATGCAGCCACGGCAGCGATGGAAGAACGAAAGTATGAGCAGTAGAGGGGTTTTCCTCGTGGGGATCAAATCAGTACCATTATACATTATAAACACTTATATTTGCATACAGATTTAGCTTGCTCTTGCTAGTCTGTTTGGGCTGTCAAATTTCCTTTGAGGTAAATATTCACATTGGATGTCTTCATTTACACCTTTTTTCATCAAACTTGGACAGTAATTGTTACCACGGCTCTGCAGTGTCACTAAGAGCTGTTTGCTAGAAACCTGGTGAACAGCATGAACATTTCCTTCGCATATGACGCGTTTCATTACAATATGCTACTATTTGTACTTACGTGCCTGTTTTCAAACCATGACGACTGTATAATGTAAACAGCAAACTTTGACACGATCCAGTCAGACCAGTATAGCATCAAGAGTTAGACTAGCAGAACACACAACAGGAGATCTACAAAGTTAAATATAAACAAACTGGGATCTAGAAATTGTGGTTCTTTCAGGTTGGAAGTGTTTATGTGATCCCAAGCAAACACTTATTCCACAAAACCAGTTGTTTCACCCAGCTCAGGAATGCTGTGCTCTTCCCACAGCCTGCTCTGGTGATTTCTCTATTACTCCTCAAAATCAGATGGAGATGGTAAGAAGGCAAAGTCATCCCTTAAGCATCTAATAGGGATTCATCACCACTATAGCATGCAGCAGTCAGCTATCCTAAGATGTAGTCTCCAAGAGTGGAGCAGTCTTCAGCTGCTTATATACCCAGATTGGAAAGTTTTGCACAGGTGTAAGGACAGATGGATACCATGACAAAGAGTTTATAAACCTGAATGCAAGGAGCAGAGAAAACAGCTTGTGAAAAAGAAAAAGCATCTCAACTCAGACAGATCTGCAGGAATCACAATGCTGGGCTTTGACTTCATTTTACACTGGGAGGACCTGTTTTTTCCAGGAGTTATCTGAGAGGGCTGAATGCATCAATACCACATTTAGAGGTGGAGCTGGAAACTGAGCCAGTGTGGCTGTGGGAAAAACATGTGAATGACTTCACAGCATCAGTGAAATAGTCTGCAAGAGGTGGCTGGAGGTCCCCAATCCTCACTGCAGCTCGAAGCAGGACTGCCTTCAGTGCCACATGGGGACAGCTGAGGCTTTGTCCAATTGTGTGTGGGCACCTTCCAGGAGCTGGAGTGTCATGAACTCTCTAGATAGCCTGTCCCAGTCTGCACTGGCCTGCTCTTGAGACCTCCCAGTGGCCATTTGCTCTGGTCAGCATGCCAGCTGGAGAAAGGGGGATGATACGAGAGGAAGGTAAATGAACGAGGAGTAACGAACCAGTCAGCAATCTTCAGCAGCAGACTCCACCATTTCTCTGGGCGACCTGTTCCAATGCTTGACCATCCCTTTCAGTGAAGAGGTTTTTCCTAATATCCAATCTAAACCTCCCCTGGAATAACTTGAGAGCATTTCCTCTTGTCCTATCACTTGTTGCTTGTGAAAAGAGAATGACCCCCAGCTGGCTACAACCTTCTTTCAAGTAGCTGTAGAAAGCCATAAGGTCTCCTCTGAACTGCCTTTTCTCCAGACTAAATATCCCCAGCTCCCTCAGATGCTCCTCACACAACTTGTGCTCCAGACCCTTCACCAGCTCTGTTGCCCTTCTCTGGATATACTCCAGCACCTCAATGTCTTTCCTGCAGTGAAGGCCCTGAAACTGAACAGGATTCGAGGTGTAGCCACAGCAGTGCCAGGTATAGGAAGACATTCACTGTGCTGGTCCTGTTGACTACACTGTTTCTGCTGTAACTTCTCACTGCCAGCCCCACCTGGGGTGTGATATTGCAGCTGTGATTCATTGTTCTTGCATATTTTCCTGGAATTAATTACTGCCTTCACCCTCCTCCCTATCCTCATGCAAGAGGTGCCCAGCTCCACTGTCATGGTAGCTGAGGGTGCATCCCATGCCACTGACATCTCCAGGCCTGCCAGATGGCTGCATTTGACCTGCACAGCCTGGATCTCAGAGTCAGGCTGGGTTTAAGATGTAAATGATTAACACTGTGGGCACAGGGAAGTTAAAACTTCCGCTTAGAGGGAGGAGAAGGGCATTAAACCTTTCTTACCTGGGAAAGCACCTGCTCAGTGCTGACCTGCCCTCTGAAGGCACGATGGCAGAGGTTGGTGCGGTCCAGCAGCAGCACAGGCTGGGGCTGCCTGCTCTTCCTGCGCCAATGGAGGCGAGACCATAAGCACAGCAGCCGCCCCTTCTCCTGTCAGAGAGTCAGGCTGGACCTCAGCAGGGGGTTCAGGCCCATCTGCCAGGTCTGACCACTCCAGTTTCTAGCCCCACATATCAGTATAGGCTGCAATGACCTCATCTTAATACATTGGGGTGTGAGCTGCTGTGAATGAAAGTCAGTTTCACTTAGCAGGTGTGCAGCTCTGTCCAGGGAGGCAGCAACCATGCCACCTGCATTTGTCCATCCGAGAGTCTTTAGTACCTTCACCAAACCAGCTTTGTGGTTAGAAAAAGCCCTCATAGGTAGAACCTCCTCCTAGATAGTTGTAAAAATAATTGCAATATATGCAGAACCAAGTACTCCAAAATGGAAAGGTAAGCTTCTAAAATTATAAGGACATTAAAAAATTGTGAGATCCAAAAGGGCATCCTTTATAAACATTTTTCTTTAATTTTTTTACGTTCTTCCCCGCAAGCTGGGGTCTATGAATCAGCTCAGCAAGAAAGTACGAAATCTGAGATTCTCGCATAAAGCCAGAATATTACTTGTAAAATCTGTAAATGCTTGTGGGAAATTATCTGTGAAAATGCTATATGCCTTCTAAGAACTAACTGATTGTATACAGTGAGGAATAAAGAACTCTTAAACAAAGAGTGATTTCAGATTTTATTAACAAAGTCCACTTGCCTTTTGATGTTTAAGGACTATTCTATAACTGAAAAAGCAGGTTACATTTAATTAAGTCCCCTGGCTCAGACTTGTTACTTAGGGTAACGCTGTAAACACTTGGCAGAGACTCTGAACTATAATAACAGGTTTATTAAAAATAGAGTTTGGTCACATATGAGAAGGCAGGGAGTCTGATAGGAAGTTCATGGGGAACCTACCACTGCTCTACATATCCTTCATCTTTTTTTTATTAGAGTATGCAGAATAAAGATGTTAGAAATGTTTTCGTTTCCCATCCTTTGCATATCTTACCTGTGAGTGATTTAATGAGTTGAATTCTCAGTTTGAGAATAAAATCTCTACTTGTAGATTGTGTGATAGTAGGAACAAAATGGTGAAATCCTACAGCTCAGCTTTGTGCCTGTCCAGATGGAGGGTGCCTTGTGGCTCCTGCTAAAATGGCAAGGACGCTATTTCTGAAATTAAGGGAGATATTTATGCCATTGTAGCTAAATTGCTTTTCCTTTATAAACAGAGTTCCGCATATGAACACTCATTCCAGGAATGGGTTTTTTTCTGGCTTTGTTTAAACCAGTTCCAGACCAATGGTAACCAGAAAAAGATGTTGTCTATCTTGCAATAGGTACACCTGTGTGAAAATATCGCATGTATTCAACCCAAATCTCGGAGAAGTGTAAATTCCTATCCTTAGCCATCCATGGCTGCTTTGGCCAAAGAGCTACAAAACCAGGTTCCCACCGATCCTTCCTAGACCTCCCTCTGCCTACATTCCCAAAACATCCTTGTTGAATGCCAGAGGTCTCCAAGGTGCTTCTCTGCCCATGACTAATAGTGTTTTGGGAAAGGTCGTGGGCGTTTGAATCCTGCCCCTGCACTACTGGCATAACCCTTGAGTTTTGCATGATCTTATGGCTTGTTAAAGAGGCTACAGAGAAAGTGAGAATCTCACTCATTTTTTAATCCTTTTAGTCTTTCTGAAGCCTTCCAGAAAGAGGATGTAAAATCTTACCCTATAGCTGAATGAGAAAGAGGGAGGAAAGTTAAAGTCTGTAACACAGAAAAGTAATCCACATTCTTATTTAACTCTCATATTTTACAGATACAGATGTAATTTTACATTACAACCTGACCTGAGTGGTGACTCACTTTCAAGGCAATAATCATGCCACTATAGGTCTCACCAACACCAACACTTTATTTTCCTTGCTTAGACCATATCTGAAACACCAACGAGTGCCAGCCGTGAGAAAAGACTCATCAGCTCTCCCAGATGAATAGGTAAGTGAAGATTTCAATTCTATTACCCTGTCTGACAGCAGCCACCGCTTAGTCTGGCTCCTCTGCCCACACACATGTAAACAATGGGAGGGGTACCATGTAAAACAGATTTTCAAAGCAAAACACCAGAAAAGTCAGGAGAAAAAAAGACAGTCTGAGTTCAACCAAGTAAACAGGAGACACTCAGAAAAAGGTGTGAAAGGAATAAGAGGTATTGTAATAAGAGCAGGAAGTAAGGTCATGTACAAAAAAACCCCAAATAAGCTATGAAATGTAAGTGCTTTATGACTCCTTTAAAGGCAAGGGAGAGTATTATTAGATGTGTGTTCTACTTCTCCAGCCAAAGTTTGATAACAAGCAATGATTTAATTA